ATCAATTTTTCGAACAGCTTGCTCAGCGCTGAGAGCAGGCTAATCGGTCTGTAGCTTGACGGTAGTGAAGGGTCTTTCCCAGGTTTGCGGATCGGGATGATTTTTGCCACCTTCCAGATGCTTGGAAAGTAGTGCAGCTCCAAGCATCTGTTGAGGATGGCAGCCAGCAGCGAGTGGACCCTCGGGCTGATATTTTTCAACGCTAGGTTGAATATTCCGTCAAACCCGGGAGCCTTCATGTTTTTACTATATTTCAGCGCTGAGCAAATTTGTTCCTCTGTAATCCGTTCTTCTGGAGGGACGGCACAAGGGGAGGTATCTAACGTCTGGACGCACTGCACAACCTGGTTCTCGAGTGGACTTGGGATTGTAGAGCCAAGCAAATGCGATTGGGCAATGTGCTCCCCAATTGCATTGGCCTTCTCTTCGTTGGTGATAAGCCGTTCGTCATTGACTCTAAGTGGTGGAATGGGCTTGGGGTGAGACTTCAGCACCTTGGCAACCTTCCAGAATGGTCTGGAACGGTCGTCCAGGTTCTGAACGAGCCGCCCGAAACTCTCGTTCCGGATTGAGACCATTCTGGAAGCGATCTGCCGATTCAGATCGACCATTTCGTATTTACGCTGCAGATCCCCAGTCCGCTGAAACTGGCGTCTACGAACATTTCTGAGCCGAATCAAGAGTTTGGTGTGGGAATCAATTGCTTGAAACTTACCCCTCACAGGAACTCGTCGAACGCACTCTTCGTCAGCCACGGATATGGCTTGATGGAGACCCTCCAGAGCCCGGTCGATGTCCTCCACTGTGTCGAGTGGTGGGTTGTCGTCGATGTGGCGGTCGACCACGCGTCGAAACTGGACCCAGTTGACTCGATGGTAGTCCTTCCGCTGGCACGGTGCAGGGGCCATGTTGTAGCCCAGCTCGGTCAGCACCGGTTGGTGGTCCGAACTCAGGTCGTTGACGGCAACCGGCTTGGCTAATCTGGTGTTTGCCAAGAACAGGTCCAGCGTCGATGGGTTGCCCGCCGGTGATGTGAAGGTTGGTTCGTCCGGAAACCAGACGGAATAGAGACCATGCTGGGAATGGTCGAATAGCAGGCGGCCGTTTTGGTTCTGCTGGTAGTTCCGCCAGGCCTCGTGCCGGGCGTTCAGGTCCCCTCCGATTACGAAGCGGGCATTGGTGCGGGTTATGATGGCAAGGTCGTTCTTGAACTGCTGTGCTGTACCATTGCTAACGGTACATTGCCGGGGGCAGTAGACAACGATGAACCGGACGTTTCCGGTCGATGTTTCCACCTCAACGCCGACGGCCTCGATGATGGAAGTGCGGTAGTGGGGTAGGGTGCAGTACTTGATGCCTTTCTTGATGATGACCGCGACACCGCCCCCCCTGGAGCTGGTGCGATCAAGCCGGACAATGCTGTGGTCGGGCAGCCAGAAGCTGTCACCGGTCTTGAGGTGGGTCTCGGTGAGAAGGCCCACGTCGATGTCGTGCTTGCGGAGGAAGTCTGCAAGCTCAATGTTTTTCGCCCCTACGGAGCGAGCGTTCCAGTTGGCGATCTTTATGGGTTCACGGTCCATAATTAGCGACGAAGGAGATGATAGCTTGGAGCTGTTGTGTTCTTGTTGCGCAGGTGCGCTTGATGATGATGGCCTGGGCCAACAGTGTGACGATCTCATCCGTTGACAGCGGAGAATCGTCTGTAGCTTCACCGGTTGTACCGGCCAATCCCGGAGCAGGGGGATCCGTCGATGGGCCGGAGGCTTGACTGGGTACTGCAGCGGCAGCCGACTGGGCAGCAGCCAACTGTTGGTTGAGCGGGAGCGGCGCCAACACTGGAATTGGCCGTGGTTGGACCGGTGATAACGGAGGAAAGTTCTGCGCGTTGTTTTCCGGGACCTTCTTGCGACCGGGCTGGTTGTTGGACGAGGCCTTCTTCCGGATCTCGGCGTATTCGGCCCGCTTCGGACAGGCCTTACTCGTGGCCTTGTGGGCAGCACCGCAGTTGGCGCATGTGGGAGCGGCTTCCTCGATGCTGTCGCAGTCGTCGATCTTGTGGTTTTTGCCGCATTTGATGCAGCGGCTGGCCATGCGGCAGTTCCTGGTGCCGTGCCCGAACAATAGGCAGTTCGAGCACTGAGTGACGCCACGGTGGGTTGGCTTATACCGCTCCCACTTCACTACGATGTGGAACAGTGTGCGTGTCGTATGGAGATCCTTCACGGTTGTGGAGTTCTTCTGCAGATGGACCAAGTAGAGCTGGTCACGATACTTGATGGCCTTGCTGCGGGTCATCTTGTGGATTTCGACCGGCTTGAGGCCGTTCGCCTTAATCTCGTCCATTAAGGTGGTGGTGTCCATGTCGTGGAGCCCGCGCAGCACCACTTTCAGCGGCTTGGTGGCCTCGACGTCGTGGGAGAAGTACTCCAGCTTCATCCTGTCCAAGAGGGCCTGGACTGCGTTGTAGTGATTTTCGGCCGAGACCATCAGTTTGTAGCCTTCCGTGCACCGTTGAATGGTGCAGCGAAGGCCCTGCTTAATGTAGAAATCCAGCTGCTCCCATAGCCCGGGAGGGAAGCCCTTCACATAGAAGGGTGGCAACTTAACTTTTTTAGGCACCGTCTCAGGGTCCGACTGCGGCTGGGCTCCGTTCTGCAGGGCGGAGAACGGATTGTTGCTCAGCAGCTTTTTTGATACGGTGGCGCTGCTGTCTTCAGGTCTGGGTCGTTTAGTTCCGGGAGGCCCCGGCTGCGGGTCCGCAACGCCTGTCGGGATGGGCAATGGGGTTTTCTTCTGCTTCTTCTGGGCTGGCTCGGTGGTCGCGCCGTCTCCTGGGAGAGTCTGTTTTCCCGGTAAACCGGCACTCGCGTTACCGCGCGATTTCTTACCCAATAAAACTTTCAACCGCTTTCTCCTCTATTTAATAACATACTTTTGTTATGTTCAACCAATCATAAACGATGAAAGAACAAAAATGCAACAACTTGCAAGAAGAATGTAGCCTTCGAGTAGGTATAAAAGAGGTATTCATGGTCAAAATAAGCATAATTCTTTGTTAGACCGTCAAGCAGGTCAGTATGTATTGACAAGGGCGTAGCCAGGTTTCGAGCTAGGGAGGGGCGAAAAAAAAATTACCATGGAAAATTTGGCCGAATGCCATTTCACCGAACGCCATTTCCTCGAAAGCCTTTGTGTTGCCGAGTTTAGGGGGGGGCAGTCGCCCCCCCCCCCCTGCCCCTATCTGGCTACGCCTATGTGTATTGAGCTCGCTCTCTAGAGCTAAATGGAAAGTTTTTCGCATCCATTTCTTGTCAGCCGTACCCGAAGGCAGCTTATACAGCATAAACATTGCCTGGACGTGTAAAGGGAGGCAAAAGACTCGGCGAAGGAGGAGCCAAGCATCATCGTAAGGTGTTGCATGATAACTTACAGGGTATTTCCAAGACTGTCGTCAGGCTCGTCGTGATAATGCGTATCTCCGGTCTGATCTACGAGGAAACCCGAGGTGTGCTGAAGGTGTTGCTGGAAAACGTCATTCGTGACGCTGTAACCTACTCTGAAGACTCCAAGCGTACGCTCTGAAGTGTCAGGGACGCACCCAGGGCCGTTTCATTTATCAGATGAGTTCTGATGAACGCAGCATGGCTTTGCTGTTCGCTCTCACACCGGTACGGTGCAGATTGGCAACGATGATAAATGCCCTGAGTTAAAAGCCTACAACTCAAAAAGTGACAAAATTGGACGATGGTTTAAGTGTTTTCTGTCAAGGCGAACGTTGCGAACGAAAATTAAGCCCACACACGATCCACCAACACTAGTTGCCTCCGGAAAATTTGAGGCCATGTCCAGGTGCAAATATTTCGACCAAGATTTTCCAAAAGAGTTGAGTTTCTGAACATGTCCCAACTAGAATTCATATCAAAAGGTTCTTTTCAGGGCAATCATAGTCATACTAAAGAGTATAAATAGAGAGAACCCCGCTCAAATTCCTATTCCTACACAAAAGTTGCAGTTAACAAATAACATTTATTATATAAGACAACGTAGGGAGTAGGGTCAATTGTAGTTTTTTGCATGTGAGTAGGGTCAATGGAGAACTAGTCACTCGCAGAAATTCAGAGCGCTTGGTTGAAAACCCACAGAGGCAAAGCTGTGGGTGCAGCGTTCTTCGAGGGACAGCTGTACTTTCCTGACCCTGACGCTCAGGATCAGGCAGCAAATGGGGTGCTGTAGTCAAAGAGAAGGGGAATTATTGAAACACAAAATCATACTTGTTTGTCAATATATTCGTCATCAACTATTTATTCTGAAAACAGCAAAACTACGCAGTGGTGCTTACGTCACCAATGCAGTTATATAAGCAGCTTCCATATTCACCTTACTATGAGGAAAAGCTTTCACCACACGCTTTATCCCGAGCGATACAAATGTTTGTCTGCTCAAGCGCATTGAAGCTCTCGCTCTCTCTCTCGGGAACAACCCTGTGGAAAAGAGAGACGCTTCCACTAAACTTGCATGCGACAGATAGCTTCGACGTCGCCGGTCGGGAAAACGCATTCGTGGAAAACTATCCACCGAAATTGCACCGCATCCCCAAATAGAGCCAAATCGGATTTCGTACCTATACCTATCTACAGAACGTACCGAGATGAGATAGTTTGTCGGATGCTGCTGCACAAAACTAACACTGCACTACCATGGCCAACGGCGGTCGTTACCGGCCTGCAGTGGACCGGTCGCAGCATGCAAGCCCATCAGTCTCATTGTCGTAAAATGAACTCGTTTTTTTTTCTTCCTCCAATAGCTATTTTTAGGGAGTAGTGCATTTTTCAGTAGGTAAAATCTAAAGAAGGATGTACGCTCGCGGAACGACTACTGCTGGCAATCGGTTCGCAGGGGAATGAATATACGCTAATTTAAAAAAAGGAATTTTTCGGTCATACCCTCCTCTCCCCAGCCGGGAAGAAGAAGAGGGAAGTAATCATATTGGGTGAGGATGGTTTCAATAATAAGATGTGGTTTTATTTTCTGTTCTCGTTTTTCGTTAAGTAACTTTTATAAAGTAATAGGAGTAATAATTGTCCTAAATTTGCATAATCATTGACTCGGTATGGTTGTGTTGGTTGTCTGGTTCGGTTTGACACTTTATTCCGTATCTTTTTGTTTGCGATTGATTTGAATTCCAGCTTGAATGTGTTGGCTTTTTTGGATTAAGGATTAGGGCTTGTTGGTAATAATGTACAATAGTCATTTAATAAATGCTTGATTTTTCATGATGGTTAATTGGTTGGTTGAGAGAAACATGCAATATCGTTCCATGTTTTGGAATTTATCGAATATCTTTTTGGACCCTAGCCGGGCACCGTACGGTAGTAATGTGCTTCAGAAAGCTTGCAGTGTATGAATGTGTGGCTATTTGCTCTTAAAAGTAGTTAAGATATCAGCAGCTTACGACTAAACTCAAAAAATGATGTAGGTAACATACTTTATCGTTTTCTTGTTTTTTAAAAAAATATTGAAAAATAAACGTGAACAAAATAAAAATAACAATTTAAATAAGGAAGAAGAATAAATTGCACAATAATTAGCCATGTTAGATAAAAATTGGAAGAGACTTGTCAAGGACGCATGCGCAGGCGTGTATGTGTGTGTGTGTGTGTGTGTGGTTGTGGTTTTCTAAGTGTGTATTTCTGATCGTGCGAGCAGAAAATATGTATGCTTATCAGTCATCAAAATAGCGCTCAAAACTACAACTAATACTTAACGCTAAACTGTTTTTTAATCAACTTAAATACTACAAGTACTTTTTCGAACTAATAGTCTCCTTTTATTAAACTCAAGTTAACCTAAAAATTAAAATGGCAGAAAAAGTTTTCAATGTTCAACTCTTCTATGTTCCACAGTAGGCGGTGATTTTTTAAATCACCCATTATGCTTCCATCCAAGCTCCGTCGAGCAAACTTTTTAGGAGCCTTAATAGTTTAAATAGTGTAGAAAAGGTCTCGCAAAACGTCCGCAGAGTTTCTTCAGACTGTAAGATCTATTCATTTCCTCCCGCGCTTACTCTCAGTAAAAGTAAAAGAACAATGTATTCTCAGCATTCCGTGCCCATGCACAATACAGAATTATCTCAATAAAGATCTTTGTAAATCTAGCAAAGTTCTCGTCGTCTTTAAATTTCCCTTTAGCTTCAAGGTTTGGTTGATCTACAATGTACACTTTTATATAAAATATATTCTCTTTTTTCCTCCTCATAATCATCTGCTGACATTTGTGATTCAAAAACCTAACCTAAAAACGGGTGCCTTACTGTTCCTATCGCAAAAACTTTCCTATCAAATCTTAAATCCTTAGGCATTAGGTTAACAATAAATTCAATCGTGATTCTCGTAAGTACTCGTGCACTTCATTCTGGTTTCGTGGCTTCTTTTCTATAATTATTTACATAACTTTAAACCGAAATTTTTTGTATCTTTGAAAGCGACACTTGAATGGTCCGAAATATGATTTTTTTTTTGAAAAACAAAAATTAAATTTTGTCCTCAATGCGACTGCCAATGAATTTCAACATGAAAGAAATATTTATATCGTAACTCCTACTCAAACAACGCGTGATTGAGGATCGAAGCGCAATTAAATGGAAATTTTGAATACTTTCTAACGCACGCGCGCACGGGCGGTGACGGCTTGTTACTGTTATTTACACATGAGGCCAATCGGACTCACGATTCGCTGATTTGTCGTTTGGCTTTTACCCGGATAGTCCACTTTGTCTTCCTGTTTTCCTGTGTTGTATATGTACAAGTACACAATTTAATTCCGTAAACATAAACCGGAAATGTAACCTACAATTCAATCTACAACTAAACCTGGACAAAACGTGTGTATGTGTCTGTGTGTGTGTGTGTGGGTGTGTAACGAAAAATGTTACTCATAATAATCGTCCGTTAAGGCAGAGTTACTAACATTTGGGGGGAACCACTTTGTCTTTAAACAAAATATCAACTTACAAACTAGCGATGAAATTGTGTCACAAAATTAACGAACGGGTTTTTCTCAGTGTTTGTGTGTACAACAGCTTTCTCTCATTTGAGACCCGTCAAATGGAGAGAAGTGAGTCGACGCGAGCGCTTTGTGCGGTGAGAGACTGAAGTGTCTACTTTGATTAATCAAACGATGAAACCAGCTCAAAGGTGAGTTGAATTCGGCTCAATTTTACTTAAAGTGAGTAAAATTTTCCGAGCTTTCCCAGGAAAATCGTCTCGAATATGAAGCAAATCGATGAAAATTTTACTCTGTCTAGCAGTATACGGACGATGAAACCGGCTCAACAGTGAGTTTGATTCGGCTCAACAAGAGGGTTTGCTCGAATGGGTTGAATTTCCCATGATTTTCCAGGAAAAACTTCTTGAATACAAGAACCCATTGAAAGAGGTTTCACTCAGTTTATTCGTATACTCCTAGACGGAGTTAATATTTCATCGATTTGTCTAATATTCTAGAAGTTTTTTTTATGGAAAAGCTCGAAAAACATTGACTCACTTTGTGTGCAAATCTACATTTGACCGTCCGTGTATACCTTTCTAGATTTTCCTCATATTTGAGAAGTTTTTCCTGGAAAATCTAGAAAAATTTAACTTCCTTTTGAGTAAATCCACTTTTGACAAAATTAAGTCGAACTCAACTCACTTCTGAGTTGGTTCCATCGTCCGTGCAGAGCTTTATGCAACTTGCGAGCAGCACAGCGACGCCTCACGTGGCTGGTTGCGAAACTACTATTTGAAAGAGAGGAATGTCGTTCAAGGCACACGCGATTGATCGTTTCGATTCGTCGGTTTGGATGCAGGACTGTGAACAGCACACATATCCGCTGTATCCGCGTTAACGTTAACTAGCAAAACCCTATCTAGAAGTCATAAATTATCAGCGTAATAGCTTTGCAACAAGTTTTAGCTAAACCTAAACTTTAATGGAATGCACTTTGTTTCTATATAGAGTGTTATCTTTCGTAATATCCGTTGTCTTGTTGGTACAGTACACAGTAGTGGTTGATCACGAGTCCGAATAAATATCGTTGTCGAAGGATGCGGAAGACCGGCGCTTCAAATCGCAATAATATTGCACGGAAATTTTTCAATTTTTTGCTCACCTTAAAAAAAATCAACAAGATCCAAACTGTTCCTAACAAAATAACGCTCTCTGTTGCAATTGCGTCCCTTTCTTCTAGTATAATAAAAAAAATTAACTACTTTGTACATGTTGTTACCATTTTAGGAAATCCAAGAATGCATTTTCATAACTACACACAACAACGAGCGAGAACAAAATTTGTCAACAATTGTGTGTCTGATTTTCTCCTTTAGTCACCCTCCTACATCTTCCGGACGTTTTGCTGTTGCTGCCGGGTAACGAGCGCTCGCAGCTTGGCCAGCTCGGTCATAAGATTCTGGTTGGAATCTTCGAGGGATTCCATTCGCTTCCGGTAGTCGAGGTTTTCCGACACGAGAATTTCGACCCGGCGTTCTAGCTGGTCCATGTATTCCTTCTTTTTCCTTCGACTTTCCTGGGCGGAGATCTGTTGGGGGGGGGGGGGATCATTAATCTATATCCGTGAGATTGGGAAATTTAGGTCAACTTACCTTGTTCTTGATCTTCCGCCGGATTTTCTTGAGGGACTTTTCTTCGGCTTTGGTCAGCGGAAGCCGAGTTGGGATTGGGTAGCCTTCAGCCAGGAGGGTGCGTTTCTCTTCCTCCGTCAGGATCAGCGTTCCCGTGGATCCTTTCTGCAAGTGAGATAAGATTTTTTTTTGTGATGCGGTCATCTTGGGTGTGGTACATTTTTTTTATAGACTGCTGCAATATTGAGCAAACTCGAAAGTAACTTTCATACACGGTAAAAAGTTGTCACATCTAATCCAAATGCTCTTGCACTTGACTCAGTCTGTCATGTGGCACTACGAATCGAAGTGATGTATCATTGATTTTCAATTGATTTGCGTTTTGCAACAAAGTGATTTGTCGTTGAAAATTATGGAGTAGGCTGTGCGTGTGTTCGAACCTGACGTTTGTGTTTTTCCGTGGAGTTTTTTTTTTTATCTGTAATCGGTTGCTGATCTGGCCATAACCAACCCAGGAGACAATTTCCAGTTCCTCATTCTAGGTCCCTATTATTTGCGGCTGAGAAGATGTTCCGAAGCCAAGTAGAACCTCCACGAGGTGTCCCATCATTCGTTGAGTCGCAGCGTTGAATCTGACTATTGGCCACGAAAAGCCTTGCCAATGCACATCAAAAATCGACTACATACACGGTAAGAAAAAATACTCAAAATTAAGTTAAAAAAAACTCAACGTTGGGTTCTATCATTTGAGGTCCGCCGTTGAGTGAATCAGAAAAGCGGCGTTGGTTAAAATTTACTCAACTATTGAGTAATAATAAATGAACTCAAATATAAGTTTATTTTCATTGAGGTTGCTTTTACGCGCCTTTAACCATTTCATTTTCACAAGCGTTGAGAGACGAGTGGTCAACACACGGGCCCCGTAATCTCAACATCCATGGTTCGGTTCCAGTTCGCTCCGTTTTATTATTTTTTTGTCAACTTGGTAAACGCCAGGATTACTCAAAATTGAGTTTTCTTCTTTAACTTAATTTTACCTAGCCCCACGGAAGCCACGTGATGAGTGAAAGGAACTCAATTTTGGGTACTTTTTTCTTACCGTGTACATCCGAACATTTGTTTATCTCAAATCGAAGGAAGACATTCCGCGCAACTACCATAAACCGGACTAGTTCATGTTGATCTTTGTCAAGCTTCGTCTACAATTTGGACTTCTACATCAACACATGTCAGACAGCCTTCAGGTTCAATTGACTAAACTTGGTGAGTTCGTTCCATTTTGTAAATTTTTATCTTTTCAAACCAGTAACGTTGGGATATCACCTTTTTGTGGTGCGTAACTGGTATAAGATCTACCACCGAACCCTAGACGTGACAGGGAATCAGGATTTTCCAGTAATCAAAGGACCACATTTTAGTCCTTGTTACTTTTTATGACTTGATAATAGTGACAAGACTCGGGTAGTGAACACAGCGCCGTTCTGCATTTTTATATTGTATATTTCAAATCAAAAATATTGTTTATGTTCATAGATTTCACACAATCCTTTTCCCTTTGTCCTTCTCCTTTTCCTTTCCCTTTTCTCTTTTCGGAAAGCGAGTAATGGCGCTATAGCCATAAGTCATAAAAGGCTAGGACAAGAGTTAGAGCTCATGCCCCAACCGTCAAAAGAAAATGGAGCATCACTTAACCTTTCTAGCTGTGATGCTTGCAACGACCAACCAACTATATAATTACCAAAATCGGAACGTACGGTACGAAATGTCCACGTTTCATCCATTTATTGGATTCTAAAGAATCGTGTTTAAATCTTCGATTTAAACAGGCCCGATGTTTTCTGAATCATCTTGCCCCTTAAATGCTGCACAGTAGGCCTGGCCGTTTTGATATGTGTGACGCATTTTCGATGTGAAACATATATCAAATAGACAAGAAAAATGATGTAGGTATATCTATCATTGTCCAGGATGCTTTCAAGAACTGGCTGTGTTGGTGTTAGATTAGATTAGAAGTGATTTGTCGTTGAAAAATATGTACTGTATAACAACTTCAAATCAAAATGATTATCATTTGAAGTGGCACCACTGTTTTCAACCATTGAATTTGATTAGTTTTGCTTTTGGAAGCAAATGTCAAAACGCACATGCCAAACATTACTCGCAGAGATGGCAAGTCAACAACAAATTAAGCAAGAAAGCGATAATTCTTCATTTTCACCCGAAATTATTTGCATTCTAGAGCGCGAGCATTTAGAAATTGTTGCTGTATTCAATAAAAGTGTATTATTCAGATAAGTTCTATTACAAATCATTGTCAAACCTTTAAAATTGATTGCTCAATGTTAATTCTACTACAAGCCTTGTAATGTTGTTCAATATCACTTGGAAACATGTGATCTGGGTAGTAATAAGATACATGTTCTATGGTCATTTTTTGAATAACATATAACAAGACTTGCAGTATGGACAAGGGAATAGGGGTAAGAGGGGCATAGTGCACAGGTGGGGCATAGTGAGCATCTCGTGTATCAGATTGGACTTCCGGCCGTTCGGAACAAACTTGTTGGTGGTAGGATCAATATCATAATGATATTGAACCTACTACCAGTTGATTTGTTTCATGCAGCTGGAGATCCAGAGCCAAACTGCGGGATGCTCACTATGCCCCTCCTCCTCCTATATTTATTTAAATCCATATTCAGCAAACAGTGTTCACTCGGCTGTCGACAAAAGCAGGCCACTCTCGATGTGTGCTACGCGATCGTCTGTTTTCTCGGCAGCAACCATTGTGTGGTCCTCCTCATTGTTCTTCATCAGCAGTTCTTTCGGTCGATGCGTCGTCGACTTTGGAAAGCAACCGTTTCGTGATGAGTGTGTGAGTGCTGACCACGTTTTGCGTCCATTGCTGCAATGGACGCGCTCTGACCCTCGTTGGCGTACAACAATTTGCCATACAATGAAACCACTGGAAGCGGCTCCAGTTCTGATGGAGGAGGCTTTTTGGATAGCGGAAGATAAAGTGTTTATTGTGTTGTACCTTTTGACTATAGTTTTAAGATCTATTGTATAGTGACCAAGAATCCTCGGCTCTGTAAAGTTAATTCGGTTGAGCCTTATCAAATAAATTAATAAACAATAAAATATTCAGCAAACATGAAATCCAAGGATACATTAGTTAAATTTAAAGTGATAGATTTTTAATATCAGTATGTTTGACATTTCGAGTTCAAAGCACGGCACATCAACAACGATGTGCAATACAATATAAAATGAAGTGATTTGCTGGTGATTTCATCGTGCTTCGATATGATCTATTCCAAGGGTGTCGGTATGCAAGATTTGCAATGTTTGGCAAGTATTGCAAATTCAACAGCAAATCACTTCACATGATATTTTTTTTACCGTGTACATAACCCTCAAAAGGTTGGAAAAGAGAGGGTCTTACGCATTGGCGTAGCTAACGGGGGTGCCAAGGGACCCAGACAACCAGAAATCGTATAACAATGTACACACAGTATCGTAAATTGCTACAGTTTAAGTCCTTTTGGTTTGTTTTTTCCGTCGATCTTGTTTTCCGTGCTGAGCACCAATGCTACCGACGTGCCAGGAAGGCAGCTCCCACACCTGGACCCTACCTATCGACCCATCAACTCATGAACCGGGGACCAACGGCTTTACTTCCCATCCGAAGGAAGGCGTGATCAGAGATGTTATGCCTCAGAACATCCCGGCGGCGCCGACTGGGATTGAACCCAGGCCTACTGGGGTGAGAGGTAATCACGCTTACCACTACACCACCGGCGCCGTTCTACAGTTTAAGTCAAAATCGCATATAAGAATGGCATACCTCGCATTATGTCGTACTGTATCCCAAATTAAATCGGATTACATCGTAAGACTTTTCAAAATGAATTTGTTATTACCAAGGAATCAAAAATATCTTCAAATGAAAAAATGACAAGCGATCAACGAACCGAATAATAACGCTATGTCAGAAGTTGAAAGCAATAATGATATAATCTTCTTTGTACTTTTTCATGACAAGCAGCCCGTGCGACACAACTCATTCGGGGCGGTAGAAGGAAACGAGCAAATTGTTGGCAAGCTGCTTCACGAAGTAAAACCGAAGATGATACACGTGTGTTAATGGGAATTTTTTTATTATGTCTTTTCCCGATTCATATCAAGCTATGTCCTCATCCGTGTATATTGCAACAAAGCAGGCAAGCAATATATCATTATCCTTCTACCACTCGGATCGAGCTTTGTTACAGAGCGAGTTTGTCATGGTAGTCGTAGCAACCGTTTTGTCTGTATGGTTGGTTGCTTTATGTGTTTGGATTCGCTGGTTATTACAGATTAAATCGTGTATGATGTTAAATCAACTCGTTTAAAATTAATTTAAAATATGCACGTATATGGCCTCCACTTTTGTACGTATAAGCCATTCATTTGCATTCTATACGAATTGTTCGTTTGTATATATGTTTGTATTACACGAAAACAACTTTGAATATACGTGCATTCTGGTTGTCTGGGGAGCCAGTTCCCCTCCAGCCCAGAATTATCAATTTCCCCGACATATTGAGAATCCTTTTTTAGCCTTTATCAATTCAAATTCAAAGTTCTGAACCGAACTTACCGGTTGACTACTGATCAGCGGCGTGTGGATCGGTTGCCTCGTGGTAGCACTTTGGTTAGCTGCCGCCCGGGCGATGCTGGCCTGCTGCTGCTGCTGCGCGGTAGGCGACACCATCAACATCGAAGAGCTCCCCGGTGACACAGCTCCGGATACTCCACTCGCATTGTGCACCGATGTCCGCCGGCTGCTGGGCGTACTTCCGCTGCTGCTACTGCTACTGGAACTACTGCTGCTGCTGCTGTTGGACCCAATGCTGGGCGAGATCACTGTGGGCGGGGACATGGGTGACGTGTGATGCTCCGGACTTTGGTTGCCCTCGGACTCATCGCTCGGCAGCGACGACGGAGGCGTGGGAGGTAGACCGAAGGAGGTGGATGACTGCGGTTCCATTTTGATGTTCAACTTGGACATGACAATTTTGGAAGCGGTGGCAGGTGTGGACGGAGTGGACGAGCTGCTGGTAGTGCTGATTGCGTTACCATTGATGACGATCTGCTGGCTTTTGAGCAGACTCTGCGAGGCGGGTGTTAGCTGGAGGGTACCATTCTGTTGGGGGGAAATTAAAGTTAACGTTTGCTGTTTTGGGATTTTTTTTTTAATCTAATCGTACCTTGTGTTCCAGCACAAGGTCGGACTGTGTGTAGGCAGCCATATTGGCTAGATTCACCGTCGAAATGGTGTAGCCGTTGACTAACGCTGTTCCACCCGATCCGGCCCCGGCCGGTGAGGGAGGACAACTTGAGCTCGGTGACATGGGTTCCTCTTTGACGGTGAGTTCATCGATTTCGATGTCGGAAGCTACGCTCCCGGAACTGCAAGAGGACGAATCGTTCGAACAGCTTCGTTTGCTGCTGATTCCCGAATTCAGCAGTAAACTGTCCTTGGTGAGGTTGTTGTTGAGGGTGAGGTGGTTGTTGTTTAAGCTGATCGGGTGACCTAGCACAAGCTGCGGGTGCGTCAATTGACTACTGTTCGACTGTTGCTGCTGCTGTTGCTGTTGCTGGTGCAGTGCGCTGAGCAGGTTGAAACTTCCACTGGAGACATTTTTGAACGCATTCTGACCGCTGAAGGCTGTGAGAACTGTGCTAGTGGCCGTCGACAACAGCGCCGGATTCGGCTGATTCCTGTGGATGATGTGCTGTTTGCTCTGTGCTGTGTTCATACTGATGGCAGGGTAGCACTCTTCATCCATGTCTGGAAATACAATAAAACGAGAAAACAGCTCGTGAGATAGATTCTGATTGTATGTCTTATGTAATCTGCTGAAGAAAAATTTAATCAACATCGATAGCGCTGGTATGCCATCCATGGATGGGACCCGCTGTTAACTGGAATTCGATTGAACACTTCTGGTGTCTGGCAGCGGTGCCAGTTTAGCACGTGTTTACATCCAATTAAAATCATAAAATACCGCAGTGCCGCGATGAACGGCGAAACGAGAGGAAAATCAGTTGGGTACAAGAAATTTCGCTTTACCGGAATGGTAGGAACGGAACGTTAATGAAAACCGGTAGGCCGCAGCACCCGACGACGACAACGATGGTGTTGAACGTCGCGTCGTCGGTTAACTATCAGCTGATGAGGCTCGTTAGATGGCGATAGAAACAAAAAAAAACCTAACCATGGAAAAATCGAGTCTAATAAAGGGAAAATTGTTTTAATGAATTGCGCTTGTCGGTGCCACAGCCACCATTATTATATTGCTATGCGTCGTCTTCTTGGCGGGAGCAAAAGTTACAAAAGAGCACCCCGAACGCTGAGAGCGCACTCGCTCATCAAAGCAGCGGATAGGCCTATTAATTTATTAATGAAAAACTGCAACTGCGTTCGGTTACAGCCAAAGCAGCATGGCTGTCACTGTGAATCATAGCTGTCAATATTTTCTCCGGTTGGTGTGGAGGTGGGTGGTTGGCGATACGGGATGTGAAGACGCATAAGTCAATGCGAAACAACTACACCCGCCGTGGGTTGCGATGATGGGTGCCAGCCGAGGCGATTCCTCGATCAGCAGCGAAACATGGTGGATCAATTAAAAAGCTAATGGTTTTCGTCATTTCGTCGTCATTTCCCCTCGTCCTTGGTGGTGAAGGTGATGCTTATCAATGCAACGACTGATGCGGGATGCGAGAAAGCACCCACAGAGGTTTTGGAATTCAAGTGGTTGCGAACTTGTGAATAGACGAATCAATTTCCTTTTCACTTGATAGTTGACAATTTCGGAGCTTGATGATGGGGATGCGTGGATGATTTGGAGTGTAATAAAATTAATTCGTTTTACGATACTCCCATGTTGTTGATTCTATAAAAAACATTTATTTTAAAAGCTTTTAGACATCACACTCTGACTAGGTGTTTGCTGAAGAACTTGAGAGATAAACGATTACAGGCCACTTCAAAACGATACATAGTATGAACAGTAAAATACTGCAACTAAATTGCTCAAATACATGCTTAGTTTATTATTTATCGCAAATCAGCTTATAAATATCTTGCTCTTTATCACAAGTTTATCCAGAAGTGTTCTCTATTACATAACATGTGTGGAACTCGATCATCAAAAATGATCGACCCCATTTCAGTAATTTCAAGTGGTATAGTAGGCCATCGATCTGTCAAATTGATTATTCCAGCTGTAAAATGAGAAAGGGGATCAAGGGGGTAGCCGATTATATTTAAATAATTATAACGTGGTTTATAATTCTAAATTTTCTTAGCACTTCTGAAATTATGTCTTTATTTTTCCTTAACTATTTATGTACTTTATAAGACAATTTTTGCCGATTTTTTATGCAATGACCTGCCACTCAACGAATAATCCTGAAATGTCATTGTAAGTTACCATATGTTAACTTTATACACTCTTCTAACTCTAAGTTTGAACCGGTATATTTTTCAATTTTCTTTCTGTAAACTTAGAAGAAAAATATATGTACCATTTTTTCGTAAACTTTTTCTCATTGGTTGGAACCAATTGCATCAACCTTTAATTTAATTTGGATTCGTAGGGGGGAAAAATCGACCGCGCAAATTAGGAGTTAACTGCACAAAAAGCAGCAAAATTTTTCGGTTTATGCTGGCAATATGCTGACCATCTTTCCATTCACAAGAATTTTGACCTGTAATACCCAATGATTCAACCCTCGATATGTCTCTCAACTGCGGCCAAATGAGCAGTTTTGTTAAAATCCCAACACAAAGATCTACTTCAATTACTTTGTACTAAAAAAAAACGTGGAAACGTTGATCAAAAAGCCAAACGGCGATCCTAACAAGCTTTTTTCGACTACTATGACTAAGGGGGGTCTGAATCTTCCAGCTAACAGTCTTAAAGTTACCAGAAACTGCTAAAGGACCAACAACTGGAACACTTATCCTAGTTTTTTTCTAGCCTTTTTAGAAAAAAAAATCAACTTTTTTTTTTAATACAAACGTTAACATCCATCAACAGAATATTTCGTGATGTAATCATTACGTTCACAAGTTGGCTTACTAAAAGAACAGTGAACTGTTGCGGGGATAGATTTTTCACAATCTTTAATAGCAAACCAGGCTTTCGTGGTGGTTCTTTCTGCAGCTTCTTTTCCAAGGACTTCATTCGACGGATTGCCATGGGATAGGTATCCGGGAACTCTCGTGCGTCGACTTTGCACAGTAAACCCGTTTCAAATCCGCATGATGTACGCCGTGTGGTCTCGTCGAGCAATCTTCTTGCTCTCCTGTTATCCTCAGATTCTGGTTTTTCTGAGGTAGTGGAGACTCCACAATTTTCGATCGTGAAGAAATCCCTCAGTTGTTCGTTCAGCATGTAGTCCGCATCGGGCGCAGCAGCAGTGTGGAAGTTGACTGAAGCTCTTGGTGCTGATTGCCTTGATGAAAACCCATTTATTCCCCAGCCGAGACCACACTTAGCGGCTATTGGATCCTGGGGACCTACCTCGCGCAGTTTCAGTGGAACTCCAAGTCGAAGATTGTCTAGTCCGATCAGTAATTTTGGTTGGACTAGATCGTGATCCTCTAGTGGCAGGCCTTTGAGGTAAGGAAATTGTTGACTCATGTCACGGTAGTTCAGGCGTTGAGAAGGTAGAACCAGACACCTCGCTGTACATGCCTGGCAAAGATCGTAACGAGCACTACTGTTTTTCCCCGCTATCTCAAAGTTGATTTGCTGAGACCGCGGCTCGTTGCGTGTCATGTTTCCTGTCCACTGTAGGGTGAGTGGTTTCGTAGGGCCCACAACGCCAAGGTCCTTCGCAACGTTTTCCTCCAGAAGAGTGTTAGTTATGCTTTTCTCCTTTCCGTATAAAACTACCGGTAGAATCCGGAATAGTGGTTGATGTTCGTTAGATGAGAGTTGATTCGACGAAATGTTCACGGAATGCGATGACGAGGCGGGATTGGAATTGGAGTGAAGGTGTGTGTGATGCTTCAAACGGCACCCTTCTATTACACATCCTTTGCATGACTTGCACGGCCATTTTCCGTGGTTGTTCAAGCACGTCCTGCACAAGCCTTTGTCCGTTACTAGTTTTCTTCGTTCCTCCATACCTAGCTGCTTGAATTTTACACATTCGGCTATCTTATGACCTTCATGACTACAAGAACAGCATGTTCGAGCTGATTTGCGTGGATTTTCGGTTGCGCTGAGCTGCTTGAAGCCGGCAGAATTTTCGGAAGAGTGGGTTTGAACCATTGCCCTCTCCTTTGACCGCTGCTTCTCATTTCTCGGGATTTTCTGATACTCAGATTTATTTTCTTTCGCAAAATATGGAAGTTGTAAGTAAATTTATTCAAAAAAATTGCCTTCCCTTTCGACGACTGTAGTTAGACGCTTCCGGAAACTGCAGTATGCACGTTTTAAAATGTTTCGATCCATAGATGTCATCATTGCCTTGATTTTAGCTTTTAGCGACTTAAGTGTGGTGTGAGGGGTTCTATTGGTATCCCGTTGGACGACGCCCTATACAAAATAATCCAACGGATTGATATCGGGACTGCTTGGGAGCCAAATTTCTTCCTCCCAAATTTACGAAATATTTTCCGTAAGCCATTTCTGTGCTTTATTAACAGTATGAGCAGGTGCTCCGTCTTATCATTTTCCCAAGCCTTTTTTAATATTATACACTGTTCTTTCAGACACATTTACCGACCGAATTATTTCTTTCATGCATACTCCGGCGCGCAACAAAGCGACAACGGCTGACAGATTGCTCTCTTGTTTCGACATCTTTACGTTTACTCAACATTGTTTGTTTAAATCTTACACCTAACAGTATAAGCTATCCAGTGCTGCCAAATATATCTAAATCATGATGCACAACCATGAGAAATTACTATTTGAAATTTACTGCAAACATTCGTCACGCACCCTGTACTTGCTGCGCTGCTTGGAGATGATCAACAAAGTTTTGAACTGCCAGTCCAAATTCGAGGATCGATTCGGGCCAGTCATGTCTAGGGCCTGGTGTCCTGCGGATAGTTTCGAGCAGGGACCTGATGAGTAGTTCCGGGCGTCCATAAAGTGTTCGTAGAGTGTTCATTACTTGTGGCACGCTGGCTGGCAGCAGAAGTCTTCTTCTTCGCATTTCAAGCTTATTGCATACCGCATATTAGCTTATTGCGTGCTCTCAACTTAGTGTTCTAGATGCACTTCCACAGTTATTAATTGAGAGCTTTCGATGCCTGTACCATTTTTGCATTAGTATAATTGTGTGGCAAGTTCAATCATACTTCTATGCCCAGGGAAGTCGAGAAATGTTCCAACCTGAAAAATTCCTAGACCGGACCGGGAATTGAACCCAGCCACCTCCAGCATGGTCTTGCTTTGTAGCTGCGCCTTTACCGACTGAGCTAAGGGAGGCCCCAATAAGTTTTTCTACTCTCCAAAACGTCGAGAATCGCTAGTTTCGCTGACGCTCCTCGCAGACCAAGTGATGAAGTCCTGGAAACGATTCTCGTAGAAACCGAAGCGATGATCAACACGCGACCGCTAAGCTACATCCCACTCGAATCGGCAGACCAAGAAGTTCTAACGCCTAACCACTTTCTGCTGGGATCTTCCAATGGTGACAAGATCCGGCCGGACGAACCTATTAATAGCCCGGCGGTCCTGCGTAGGAGTTGGAAGCTAGCACAGGCCATCACCAACGAGTTCTGGTCAAGATAGGTGAAGTAGAATCTGCCAGTGATAACACGAA